AACGTGCACCTATGGTTTAGTGCACAAAAAATACATTTGTTCCTGCAGTTTCTGCAAAATCAGAAACCTATAGCAGTGAAATTATTCAGCAGTAAGTCCAGAATTCCCTGGCTTTTCTGTAACAAGGATGCAGACTGTCATTTACGAGGGTGTGGAATCCCATAGGATAGCAGTTAGGACACTCACCCTGCAAGTGAGAGGATGCGAGACAAAACCATAGGCAAGTTTCCTTACTCCACACACCTCTGTGTACCTAGCAGAAAGTAGGAACCTAGATGTTAGTCAATTTGCAGATTGTTTCCAGGAGCAATAATCCCTCAAAACAAAATTTGGAGACTCAATCCACAATTGTTTGTGGGACACTACTATGCACAATTAGCTGGCCCTTTTCGCTCATAAATTACAGTCAATCCACTTACAATATATTCTGTGAAGCACTTTGAAATGTCTCAGCTACGTGATAAGGCACTATATTAAATGCAAACATCATAATTATTATTACAACAATGATTCCAAAGAGACTGTTCTGCAACCTTGTCCCATGTACTCCATTCTGTTCCACTTATTGTCTACTATCCTTGTACGAGGGCGTGTTGAGCACCCATACTGAACCCCTGTCTTGTGCCAAACTTTCTGCGAATTCTCTCAACTCCACACAGGTGAAATTATTGCCAACAAGTGAACCTTCTAGAGGTATAAAAAATGTCAAATGAGATTAAAATGTAAACCCAGAACAATGCTTTAGGATGCACCAAGACAGATAAATAAGATAGTATAAGCTGTAGTTGCAAAGGGCAATTTCTGGGCAGACACCAGGAAGTATTTCTTTTTCCAGAGAGTGATTAATGACTGGAACAGTTTTCCAGTAAGGGTGGCTAAAGTCAGAACACTGGACTCATTTTTAAAAAAAACAGCTTGATACAATAGAAAGTTGGTAGGGTCAGTATTCTGGAGGAATGAGACCAAATGGACAAAGAGCCTTCATCACCCAAACCAATCTTGTGATCTTGTGATTTATTCTGATTGTTGTGCAATGGTTTAATATCACAATCAGGAGCAAAATCATTGGGTTTCTGCCTGCAGCTCATAAATATTCACCCGTTCAGAGCTGCTAACTAATTAGAGGAAAGCCCCGGCAAATATACGGGATCAGCAAATTCATGGAATCAAAAAATATATGGGATCCCTGCTTTCAAACACTGAAAGTGAATAGTGAGGTTCCCGTAAGTCAGTCAGCTGTTAACTTACTGTCAAAAGGATTTCCCCGTCAGCGATACTGAGCTGCTAGTTAGTGAAACCACTAACAAAATGCAATGGTAGCAATGCAAAATGCTACCTCACTGTCTTAGCATTGACCGTGTGGAATAATTGTGGAAGCTAAACAAGCATGCTATTTCCACAATGTAAATTTACCCACAAAATGACACAAATACTGTTATGCTTTACATTTACAGTTTCAGATTACAATCCCTGCCCTGACTAACGAGTCTCTCCTATACAGCAGATGAAATTTCTTTATTTTCAACTTTTTTGCTGAATACTGAGCAATAAAAAAATCTAATTTGTTAACTTCGTGGAACAGAATTCACCAATTAGTTTTCATTCCTCCACCCCATTGTACCCAGAACCATTGCTGTTCCTTAGCATACAGGCTTTCAGACTCCAGAACCACAAGACCCATCACACTTCAAACTCTTTCCAATTCCAGGGCTCAAAATGCTGTGACTGTTTGCTGTTCAAGACATGAATTGTACAACTGCAACAAGGTATCGAGATTTCGATGCTTTTTTTTCCAAATTTTAAAAATCCTATACCCTGTGTTGAAACCAGACATTAGGACATGCCAGCCTTCTTCAGCTGTTAACAACTGAATTGTGATTCAATATGCATCTAACCAGCAAGCTTCAGAAGAAACTCAGAAACCACTCCCTCCAATTTTTCTTGTTCGGGGCGCACGCACAAAAATAAACACCAAGAAGTAACCAATTATCATCCAGTTTAAAGTTCAAAATGATGGGGGTTCATTTGCACTCTTTAGCCATTTCAGTCCCACACGAAAAATACCTCCTGCTGCCTGAAATGACATGCACGTCGGTAGCAAAAGTTAAGTCGGTGGGACATACTTACCTCTATTCTTAACTGCAAGAATCGCAGATTGATTCCAAATTGGGCAGAAAATAGACAAATGGGATAATTAATTCACAATGGCAAGCACATGTTCTCTGCCTAAATCTGGCAAAAATAAAATTAAACATCATTTCCCTCCGACACTGGAGATTGCACCAAAATACAAGAAGGGAAGAGCCATTTTAACCTTTACTTTTATCCTCAAATGCCAATCTTAAATAAGTTGATGTTTGTAAGGACATCTGGTTTGGACAAGCTTAACGTATGGCTCTCAAACTTGGCCAATAATATCGCTATAGGCTCACTCTTGCAGTTTGTTGCAGTAAGAGCAGGTTATGGTCTGATCAGTGCTGTAAATGGAAGGGCTTGTTTTGTCTTTATTTTCTCAAATACAATTAAGATGAAGGGGATGTTTACGCAGTTGAGTCTTCACCTTTTGCTACCAAAGCAAATAATTTCTCATTTATATTTAAATATATTAAAGCCTATAAAATGTCTCATTTAGGAACAGGAGGTAGGGCTCATTCAAACAGATTGGTGAATGACAATGATAGAGAGTGTCGACATGGAGAAACTACTAAATGAATACTTTACTTCCATCTTCATGCTGGAGGTCAAGGATATGTTATATGAAGTACAGGAAATACTAGAGGCTACTGAAGGCAAGCATACAGCGATTATGAGATAATAGTTATTTGTCAGACAAATCAAAATAGTAGATAGAGTAGGAGCTATTGATATCTTCTCATGAATTTCCAGATGGCACTTGATAAGGTACCAGATTAGAGATTGTTAACTGAATATTCAGGTGCATGGAATTGATGGAAAATTGTTTGGGATAAACAAAATAATGTATCAATGATTGGGGCTGAAGAGAGACAATTCTTCTGACCCTGATGATGTTCACTACAGTGTATTAAAAGAAATTGACAAGTAAATTGGAGTTGAATTAGTTGTAACCATTTAAAGCTCTCTGGATCCTGGAGCAATACTGGAAGATTGGAAGGCAGCAAACTACAACAACAACAAGATTCCATTTATAGAGCGCCTTTCACGTCAGGAGGACGTCCCACGGCTCTGTACAGTTGGATCAGGACCCGAGCAGGGGGAAAATGGTCAGGGTGAGGGGAGGGAAGGGAGAGAGGGAGCGAGAAGGGGATAGAGAGTCGAGAGGGGAGCTGAAGGCATGGTCAAAGAGAAAGATCTTGAGACCGGCCTTGAAGGAGGAAAGGGAGGAGGCGGCGAAGGCACTGGAGGATAGAGTTCCAGAGCCTCGGGGCTGAGAGGCTGAAGGCCTGGCCACCGATGGTAGGGCGGTTGGGGCGGGGGATGTGGAGCAGACCGGAGCCAGAGGAATGGAGGGTACGGGCAGGTAGGTAGGGGGATAGTAGGTCGGAGAGATAGGAGGGAGCAAGGCCGTGAATGGCCTTGTAGGTGAGGATGAGGATCTTGAAATCGATCCTCTGGGGGATGGGGAGCCAGTGGAGGCGAGCGAGGGTGGGAGTGATGTGGTCCCGAAGCCTGGTGCGGGACAGTACACGAGCTGCAGAGTTCTGAACATGACTTTATTATTAAAGAAGGAAGGAAGTGACAAATTAAGTAACAAAGCCAATGAGTTTGACATCAGTAATGGACAAATGATGGGAATCCATTATCAGTGACAGAATAAAGGAGAACCAGAGGGACAGTTCACTGCTCAGAGAGATGTGTCTGTAAAAGATGAGCCAAGTATCAATAAGCTAATGGAGTTCTTTGACAACCATATCAAGATAGTAGATATAGCAGGAGCTATTGATATCTTCTACATGAATTTCCAGATGGCACTTGATAAGGTACCAGATAACAGATTGTTAACTGAATGTTGAGGTGCACGGAATTGGATGGAAAATTTGTTTGGGATAAAAGGACCAATCTCCAAATGCAAACAGAGACAAGAGTGGTGTCCTCCAGAGATCTGTACATGGTTCTCTGTGTTATCATTTTATAGATTAATAACTTGATCTAGGCATAAAGGGGAAATGTCTAAGTTTGTAGATGACACCCAGCTGCAGTGAACTGTCAATGCAGAAAATTGCAGAGAGACACAGATTGATGAAAGAAGATGGCTTATCTATGATGAGAGACTGAGCACATTTAGGTTTCTCGAGTTGAAGAGGTTAAGGTGCAGTCCTATTGAACCATTTACAAAAAAGGGACAAGGTCAATTGAGAATCCAAAACAAGCCACAATCTTGAAATTAGACCTAAACTGGTTAAAAGTGGAAGCAGACAGCATTTCTTCACACAAAGGGTTCAAGAAAGCCATAAGTGCAGAATTAATTGAAACTTTTAAAAGATACCTAAATACTTGGGAAGTAATGGTACAAAAGGAGTAAAAACTTTTAATGCAGAGCAGGCTTGATAGGACAATTCCTGTTTCTGTGTTCCTTATAAATGGGCACTCAGGTGAATTGTTATTATATTATTAATATCATGGGTCAACATTCTCACATTTGTTGCATGCTTATGTTCCAAAATGCATCTAAATCAAAGGATTTTTCATTCCCAAGTTGCTTGTTCTGCCATTTGTATGTAGAACAGAGTGAATATTATTATTATATCCATTGACCTCTGACACTACATCCAATCCAGGTGAAATTTCAACCAGTGTATCAATTCTTCTTTCTGTCAGGAACAGAAACATTTCACAACACAACAAGCTCGTGTCACTTCCATGATTTAGAGGAGCAAGAGACCAAAATTACTACTTTCACATTTTGAGAAATTAAGCAAGACCAAGCTTCATTTACGGTCCTTTACACTGAAACGGCAGGATGAAATGCTCCATTAACACTCATTATTCTGCTTCTAAAACTTATTTCCATAAAGCGTTACCTCACACCATATGATAGAATGAAGTTCACACTTAAAGGTTTTTTTTCTGGCAAAGAAAGGACAATATGAGTAAATATTTGATACTGGGAAAGAAAACCGAAACAAATTAATATATTTAGTGAATGAAACAAATTGACAATGTCAACTGGAACCATATCTGGATAACACAGTTGGATGCAGCAAATTGGATGCACACGCAGATTAAGGCTTTGATTGTTCGCAGATGGTGACATTTTTGTGTGTTTCTTTTTACAAAAAAGTCTATTTTCCCCGGAGAGGGGGGAAAAGAAATTGGCAGAGGTGTTTATCCCATTGATCACTAGAGCTTTATATAGAAGTGAGAAGACACAATTGCCTGCCCTTTGCCAAGAAAAAAAAATGTATTCCCGATTAATTAATGTGACTTTCAAAACCTATCATCTATCATCTGTAAAAGGATATTCTAATTCCATCCGAATGCCCTCAAGGCGGTTTGTGAACTCATAATAATCTTCTTCGGAGTGCTCATCAAAGACTTGCATTTGGACCTGGAGTTCTTCATTCTCGATAATCTTCAGTTTCTGCCGTAAGAAAAATGACCAAATCCTTGTTAGTTTATCATCTGCTTTCATCAGCCGCTCGATGTAACACATACTAAATTATCTTACACTTAAAACGAATGCCACGCTGACTAAGCACCTTAATAGAATGATCAATTGGAAACGTTAGTTGCTTAATATAAATTCAATCAACTGGCCATTTTATAAAAAATGTTTGTCGAGGCCCTTTCTATGAGTACGAATCACTTCACAGATACAGAAAACATATTGTGTCCTGTAAAATTAGAAAGCAATTCATAAAATACAATAAAACAACACGTAAACATCAGGGTGCTTTATCAGGAGGCATCTGTCAGTATTTGTCCCTGAGGAAAAAATTTCAAAAANCAGCTTGTTCAGTAATAAATGTAAGATAGTCTGATCAGCAGAAGTGTGATTACTCTATACTGAACGCAAGGAGAAATGCAGTCACAGCACTTTTTGATAACCTTATAAATTCTGAAGATCTGTGAATGTAGTTTTTGGGGAAATTATACAATCATTAGTCCCTGAACTGCTGAGCCTTTCTCTAATATCCGCTCAAGGCTACTCTGACCAAAAAACATCTATGAATGCACCATCCATACACACCATTAACAAACACCAGAGGTCAGGCTGCCTTGGATTCATTCCAGACTTTAGCTGAAGCCAATGCAAACAAATTTGTTTTGTTTTCAATCTGTCTCATCAAAGCATTTGGCTCTAAAGTTACAACAGGTGTCCTCTGTGGAATCATCCTATAAATGGGACTAAGGTGGCAGGTGATTCTTTTCCCAAAAAATAGATTCATCAAAAAAAATCTTTACAAGGAATATCTGGTGGCAGCGAGTAAAACGCATTGCCTTTCCACATCTGGAATCTGAATTTTGAATCTCGCCCAGACTAATAGGACAGCATTTTCCTCTGTCATTTGGCTCCAGTGGTTCTGTGTATCATGTGTTTCCAGGAAGTTTCAACCAACTGCACTCAACTGTTCAGGAATGAATGGGTAATATCTTTCGGATGGATGGCAGGGTGGTTGGAGTGAAAAATGCAAAGGGTAATGTAGTGCAAGACGGAAAGCTCTGGTAAAAATGGGGCTCAGTTGAAGCTCTGCTCTGTACCTACCCACGATCATACTCCAGCGCACTGCTGATGGCAGCACAGTCAGCCTGGATCATTGGTAGTATTGAAACGGCAGAACAGGAGTCCGGGCAGGGAATCATCCCACTCAGCTTCTGTTAACCCTGCAAGTTAAGCCCGAACGGGTAGGATGATCCTAGCTTGACAAGCAGTGGGAAAGCTTGCAAGACAGCAATATCAATGGCAAGCTATGCGATTTTAGCTGGTTAGACTCCAGCAGTACTCCAATGCATACTCTTGGGTCCCCAAGCCTTGGCTCTTGCCAACCTGCACCGAATACTCTCTGGAATTCGGTAAGCGGAATGCATCCCTCCAAAGCCAGAGTTCACATTCCATTCCAACTATCTATCTTAGTAAATGTAATAAAGTAAAACTCAACTTAGAAACCAACTTAGGGAACAATAAATGCAAGTTGCCATTGTTACAATCTTTGTTGATCCTCTTTTTGAGCTGGGCCAGCCAGAGTAAACTATTATCTCAAGATAACCTTTTTTTTCAGTAGTGATATAAGATCTTTAACATCCACCCAAACAGCAGATGGGACTTTGCTTTAACATCTCATCCTGATGATGGCACCTCCAACAATGCAGAGTGTCATACATTGAAGTGTTAGCTTCAATTATATGAGTTTAATGTCTGGAGGAGGAACTTGAATCAGAGGCTTGCAACTCAGCCTGGCTGATACCTTAAATGAGATGTTTAGTGTTACCCACCCTTGAATTTTTTTTACCTAATACATCTCATTATATATCAGCCGATGAATCGGATTGTAGATCTTAACCTGAATTTCATATTGTTTGAACAAAGCAATTATAGAGTGGATGAGGTGAAATATATGGTATATTAGTTAGGCTACCTTATACTGGGAAAGAGTGAATGATGGACCAAAATACCACAGGGTATATATAGGCCTCATCATGTGTAGCTGTGAGAGTTGCAGAGGAAGACAAAAAGAGAGTGAAAGGTCATAGGAAGTTCAATAAATACTGGTGCATGTCATCAATTTGAGGTCAGATTTATAGTTACTTGTGTAACAAGCACATTAGGCATATAGGACATTTCGATCTTTTAATTCAGTGATTTAATGAACTTTGTCAGTCCTTGAAGCACCCATTATATCTATTATGAAAAGCACACTGAGGAGAAATGATGCAGGACAAGCATTTTGGCCAATTTATACTTTCTGCTAATGATAATATAGAGAGAATAATGAATACCCAGGAGGGATTTCAAGAGAATTATCTCAGCAAAAGCTTTCACATGATGTCATTAGATGCAAGAGTGAAGCCTGAGCAGTTAATAAAGACAAGTCAGCTTGGCTTTGTTGGTAGCACTTTTGCTTTTGAGGCAGAAGGATAGAGGTTCAAGCCCCACATATAGGTGTGAGCTCAATCTAAGCTGACATTCAAGTACAATGTGGGGGATTGCTCCATTATCAAGGTGCTGTCTTTTCGATGAAATATTAAACCAAGACATTATCTGCCTGGAATGTTGACCAAACTCAATGGTTTTGATGTACACTAATGAAGCAAGGCCTAAAAAAAACTTTCAAGCTCAACTATTGTGGTGATTCAAGGGAGGGTGGAATGAAACCCCTGCAACTACCCTCACCTCTCCAACGTCAGCAGAATCATCGGGTTTGAGGATTTGTGCCATTCTTTTTTCTTGATCACGTTTTGTCAGGACAATTGTTTTTTTTCATTTTCTATGTATTGGTCCGTCATCCTGTTTTGCCAGATGTAGTCTCATAGCTATCATTAACATTCAGGCTATGATGAAGATGTAATGCTTATGATCCCTGCACGTTTATTGAGAGTCAGTTATTAACTGACAAATATAGAGCAACTGAGAGATTCATAGGCAATACTTATTATATCCCCTTAAGCTTTTTCACTTTTGATGAGGAGATATTACATATGAAATGAAGTTTTAAGTCACTGATCATCCATATAGTCCCTACTAGCACTCCAATGCACTGCTGTGGGTATGCTGCAGTAGGTGAGACGTTAAAATCAAGTCCCATCTGCCTGGCCAAGAGGACATTAAAGATTCCATGGCACTATTCAAAAAAAGTTTCTCCCAATATCCTGGTCAACACTGTTCTGGGTATTGTGATAATGATAATAATCCTCCACATAATAATACCTTACCACATCATCAAAACACCTCGTGGAGCTCACAGGATATACTATAAAGTGAAAAGTCTGTAAGGGCTTTGAGATGTTTCAATGATGTGGTGAGGTTTTATATCACGTGGAGGATTATTATTATTACAGGCACAACATGGGAGCCATTTCCATGAACAAACAACGAATGATTAATTTTATCTAGGGGATTGTTGGCTAGGTCACCGGCAGAAACTCCCTTCTCTTTTTAAATAGTGTCATGGGATCTTTAATGTCCACTTGAAGAGGCAGACAGGACCTTGGTTTTTAATCTCATGTAAAAAACATCTATGACGCTTCTTTTTATTCTTTCTCCAATAGTTTTCCCAATAAAGTCATATAAGCTAGGGTAATTTTATGGACTTTTCCCCCTAAAATGCAGTCCTTCACCTACAAAATGCGGCATCCTTTAAACAGCAAGTGTTGTGATCAAGAACAAAAGCAATTCATAACCTGTAAAATAATAAGAGGGGCTGAATGGGCTCGTTCTGTTCCTGTTTTACTCTGTTCCTACGGTTGGTCAAATGACCTTTTCTCATCATCTCTTTAAAAATCACTGGAGAGTTGTAGAGTTTGCAGCAACAGCATTGTTTTCCAAAAGGCAAAATCTCTCCTTCGTGTTGACTTGTTTTTGAATATTTGTTTGAACAATGAGTGTCGGCGACACCACTGGAAGAATTAGCTTGGAGGAGCAGCAATGATCACTCATACGGGGCCCGAATTATCAAGAGAGGAGTACCTTGGTCACTAACCCTGGGGTGTTTAGCTTCATTTGCGTATGTTAATTCGTCTTCACTTTCAAGGCCCTCTCCTACCTCCCTGACCTGCTGACTTCCTACCAACCTGCCCGCTTCCTCTGTTCATCGGGTTCCGGCCTGCTCCATGTCTCCCGCCCGACCCACCCTACCATCAGTGGCCGGGCTTTCAGCCTCTCTGCCCCTACACTCTGGAACTCCATCCCACAGACCCTTCGCCTCACTGCTTCCCTTGCCTCCTTCAAGGCTGGTCTCAAGACCCTCCTCTTCGATCATGCCTTCAGTCGTCCTCCCACCTCTCTGCCTTCCCTCATCCCTACCCCACCCCACCCTCACGCTCGGGTCCTGACGCCCAACTGCCCAGTGCCTTGGGACGTTCTCCCGACGCGCTCTATAATTGTAATTTTGTTGTTGTTGTTAATGCAGTTCCCTCATAGAGTCAGATTCGGTATCTTCACCAAGCCTGAACCACCTGACATTGTCTACACTACTTATTGTTTAAGTAGAATTATTTAAAATCATTTAAAGGGAGATAGGAATAAACAATATGCTGCTAAAATTTACCATGCGTTTGTGTTTCATTTGTGTTTCTCTTTGGTTATTTTTTGTCTAGCTTTAGAGGAGGGATGATAAGATTTCCTAATTCAGATACCCATGTTATCAGCATTAAGCACTCCCAGAACAGATACTGCAAATCTTGTAGCAGATCAAAACTCTCTCCAGTCTGTATCAATGATGAAATATGCTTATATTGGAATTCTCTATGGATTTAAACCGTTTCTGTCTATGTGGCGTGATGCTATCTGATTTTTAATGCAGCAGGCTGATCTGTTATAAGTGCGGAAGGAAACAATGGCCAGCTTTAGCGAGCAGTGCATTTTTTGCCTAAATGCATCCACACCACAATTGCAGAAGAGCACCCCCTACTGCATTAGTGTGCACTGTGATTTTCCACAACAGCCATGCTGTCAGAATGCGAATGCCATCATCATTGCCAAATAAGGAGTCGCTTTGTGTTGTAGGCCTATGTTCACTGGGGAGCAGGTTGACACTGTTCAAACACACTTCAACAGACCATTCAGAAGAGACTTTCATCCCTTCAGTCTGAGCTGCATTCAAACTCAGGTCCCAGAAGTAAAAAGTGCATTGTGTTGACCCACTGTGACTACCTCAGTGTCACAGTACTTTACTTCTAAAGGGCTATTGGTCAATAGAATCATTCTTAAAATGACGCTCTTTCACTAAGGTTAATTTAATGTTACTGTGTATCAAACTTCAATTGAAACTTTTCTCTCAAATCCTTCAATAGTTTTCTCTTCAAACAGGAAGATTTTTATTTGAACAAACAATAGAGCTGCATTGAATCATATACGATATATTGGACATGTCAGAGAAGCTGCTTTAAGTTTAGTTTGTGCTAGAACATTTCTGTGCTCATGCATTAAGTTATTATTAGTTGGCTCTGCTCAGGTGTAACATCAATGCCCCGAGACACATGAGGAAACAAGAAAATAAATATTAAGAAACAATTGTTTTAATTTAATAGCACATTATTAATACATTCAAAGTTAGAAATGTGAATGTTCCCTCTGTACCTCAGCCTTAATCGTGTCTAATGGCTGTTATAAGTGGGTGGAAACAATTAATATTAATTTGTTCCGTGTGACAGAGAGAGCTGTCGACCAGAAATAGGCAGCTCGGCATTAAGTCGATTCATTAACATGTGCTTATACTGGAATCGTATGTCGATCTGTGTTATGTTTCTGTGGTGTGACACTCTCTGGCTTCTAAGCAGTTAAACGTTGTGAGATAATAAATGGAATTTGGTTCACACTCACTGGCAGGAGTTGGCTTAGCCCAGAACGCAGCAGTTCACTCCTCAGATGGAATCTCAGCTCCAGCTCCTCGGCTTGGGTTAAGAGGGCGTTAATAAGCTGCATGCACGCCACCTGAACAAAGCAACATACCAGCAATCTTGTTATCACCACCACTCGGAGCATACAGCACTGTCAAAATGATTATGTGCAGTGACATGACTAATAATTGTACACAGTGCATTTTACACCAACAACATACACCAATGGGATGTTACAGGCTCCAGGGTACGGCTGTATTTGTTTCATTAGTTCAAACGTAATTAGTCTGCACTTCAGTCATCCGGGCGCAACTTACCTTTTTGAAAATTAGTCATGATTTTTGGGTAGCACTGACACCCAGCTCCCTAAATGATTTATTATTTACTGAGGCACACTGCTTAGACATGATTGCAATACAAGGAGGCTGCATCATACAAGCACACGTACAAGAAAGCGTTGTATCCTATCCCATATAAAGTCAGTTCCCATTAAAAGTTATGACAGTGTTGTTCTTCCCAGAAAATTGTGTTGTTTCTCAGGAGGGATTTATACAGATTGACAAAGAACCATCACAATTCTTATTGTCATTTTGTCTTATTGTGAAAATGTGAGATATTACTGAATAACAATTGTTTAACACAATTAGCTATCTGCTAAAAAACAACACAAGGTGTATCACAGCCTACGGAGGCCATCCATTGTGCACCTCCATAAATCCAGTTGTACCTCATATTTAGATGTCAGCCAAGTTGCTCTCTTGCCTCTGAGTCTGAAGGTTGAGTCTGAAGCCGCATTGGAGCTTTGAGCTCATAGCCTAGACTGACGCTCAAATGCAGTATCAGTAGAACAGTGTCAGAGGTGCTGGCCTTCAAACGAGACATTAAACCTGACTGCCTGTTCAGGTGGACATTAAAGATGTTATGGCACGATTCGAAAGGCGAATGGACTTTCTCCTGGTGTCCTGGCCGACAATCCCCCAAATAAAATTGGTCATTTGCTTCATGGTTGTTTGTTGGAGATTGCAGAGTGCAATTTGCTTCCATGATTGTCTACAACTACTCAGTCGCTACATTTAACAGTAAATCCCGTAAAGCGCTTTTTTTCAAAATGTAATAAGGTTCTTTAACAAATTCAAAGATCACCACTTACTGGAAAGAATGTAAAGGAGTTAAAGATCTTCTACATGTTTTATGGACCTGTTCTTTAGCCAAGATATATCGATATTGAGATATTAGAGGCATAATCTTCACCTGTCTTGACTATTATCAGTCTATTCAACTTCCAACTCTAAATTTTACCCTCTCAAGGCTAATATGCTAAACAGTAAATGTGTAGCTGTGGTTCAACAGACAACACCTTCTATTCTACCCAAAGGCAAACAATATGTACTAAATCACCTTTTTCAGTTAAACGATAATCCCAAAATAAAAGATCATTATACACTGATCCCATCATAAACACATCACAACAATCATTACTATTTTTAGTGATCAGGTTATGTATGATGGGTCATTTTCACCAAGCAAAGATTTCTCATAGGATATCTCACTGAAATATCTAAAGGATACAGTTTGACTGAGAGCTATTAAAAGATTTGACATCTCTACAACAAGAGACATAGACTCAAGCTCGGAAGAGGAAAGGTAAACAGACAGTTTATACTTAACTTCTCAGTGAGTGTTGAATAAAAGGACTGACCGGAAAGTCAGTGAAGGCATGCTCAAGCAAAATCAAGTTAGAAATCCAATACACGTGGTTTACATGGATTTTCAGAAGATTTTTAACAAGGTACCAGACAAACGTGAGTAAGGTCAGGCCATGTGGGATCAAAGGGAAGATAGCTGAATGCTTTGAGAAGCGGCTACAGAGTAGAAAACAAAATGTAGGATTTAACGACAATTTCTCAAAATGGATAGATTGGGGACAGTGGTGCTCCTCAGCGATCTGTTCCAGAACCATAACTTTTCATCCTGTATATAAATAATTTGGACATAGGAATAGAGGGAGAAATCTCAAAGTTTGCAGACAATGCAGAGGTAGGGAGTAATAGTAAATACCGAGGAGGATCAAAATAAAATACAGGCAGCTTTGATAGGATTGCTGACTGAGCAGACAAGTGGCCAAGGGGGTTCAATGAAAAAAGTGTTCATTAGTTCATTTCAAAATGACAAATGTAGAATGAACCTAAAACTTAAAGGGGGCAAATCCTAAAAGGGAAAAAGAATTTGAAGGATCTCAGAGTACAGATCGTCAGGTCACTGCAAGCAGGAAAAGTCATAAAAATGCCAATGAAACCTTGCGGTTTATACCTAAGGGAACAGAGTATAAGGATACGGAGGTCCTGTTGAATCTATACAAAACAATGGCCAGCCCACAGTTGGAATACTGTGTGTAGTTTGGGGCTCTTTGTTTCAGGAAAGATGTTAAAGCGATGGAGGCAGTACACCAGTGAAGATTCACCAGGATGTTGCCTGGAATGAGGAAATGCAGTTATAGTGAAAGGCTTGGTAAACTGGAAGCTTTTTTTTTTAGGAGCTCAGAGAGCTGAGAGGGGATATCATAGAGGTGTACAAGATGATGGGAGGCTTGGATAGGCAAGGAAAGATTATTTCCGGTGGTCAGAGGTTCTAGAACTAGAGGGCATAGTTTTAAAATCAGAAAAGAGAGGTCCAGAATGGAGATTAGGAAACATTTTTTCATATGCGAAGATGGAATTCTCTGCTGCAGTCAGTTGTAGGGGCAACAACCAGGTGCACTTTAAAAAAAAGGCTGGACACATGGTTAAGAGAGAATAAAGTTGAGAGATATGGGGAAAAAGCTGAGATATAGGACCAAGAATAGGATCTAAGATAGGCATTAGCCGGTATAAATGCCAGCAAAACTGGATGGACCGAATGGCCTGTTTCTAAGCTGTACCATCTATTAATCTATGAAAATAGATAGCTACTTAATATAAGCCCTAGATATTTGAGATATAGCGCATGATCTTTTTTGAAACTTGTCAGAACTACAATGGTCTTTTCAGGTCTTGTACATTCCTATGTTCACCCACTGGCACAGTATCTACTCACAAATCATTTATAGCAACACAAAATACTACATTTTGAATTTACCTGAAATGTGATTTCCTGCCCGTTTTACTTAATCACTTGTGACTGCATTATGTAGAACCCCTTTGAAGCATTAGTATATTCTGCAATTCATATTGATATTTATTTATTGTACTCAAACCCAACTGTCTTTCCAAGAATAACATTTGCAAAAAAGACAAATATATACAAGGAAATTAATTTTCATGTAATTCACTGTGAAAAATAATCTGTAATAATGCCGGACCCATGTTGTAAATCCAATATATTTCAGTTCCAAGGATATGAAATCAATAATACTTTGTCCTACTTTACCTTCAAGCAGTTGCCGGTACCACAGCTCTATATCAGTAAAAGATTTGATTTGGGAACGAGAAAAAAAAGTTTCTCTCCTCCATCTGTTGATTTCACATCACACACAAAACATAGTTAGTGAGAGTAGTTAGGTGTCCCTCAACTGGCTGTGTGGATCATGTCTTGGAGTTACTCTTCTTCCCTTTCTTTGAGTTATTAAATATTTGTAATACGGACATTTTCAAAATAAATATTTCAAAATTCATATTTTAGACATATTAATATTTAAGAAATTAATATTAATACTTGAGTTACAGAGAGTCAAATAGAGCGATATACTGTGGAAACAAGTCATTCAGCCCAACTAGACCACATCAATTTTTATACTCCACATGACCCACGACACTTTACAGTAAACCTTGTGAAGTACTTTGAGACCTCCTCCTGACCCGAAAGGCACGATATTAAATACAAGGATTAATAGACATTATTATTTTTGAGGCGCCTGATCACCTAAATCCCCTTCTCTAAACAGCATGATTGAAACCAAATATTGTGGGAACTTGCAAAAACAACTGACTGCCCCCCTACCAAACTGTGGCAAGTGGAACAAACAGCTACTGATCATTTTAAGAATGAGGACTGGATGATGCCATGGGTCAGTATGCTATCTTTTTCACCCCAAGTCCAAACAAAGCAATTGATGTGATTATTTTCTTTCTCTATAGGATTCCTGGGTGCTACCTGAGAGTTTTATTCAATAATCCTTCCACAATGAGGAAGAAATTTCATAGCACTTTTCTTTATTGGAGGTGTGATCTGTTCTTGACCACCTCTCTTGGGATACCGAGTATATTGTCATGTATATTGGCATGACAACAAAATGAGCTTTGGCCGTCTCAACCCAATTCCAAGTGGGAATGGACACACAGCACAAAGATCTGACTAAATTAGCAATCTCACTTGACACGGCTGTAAGCATTGTTGGTATGGGAGATAAACACAATCACCCTGGTATGGTGGGGTTTCTGTTCTACACTTCAGGTTAGATGAAGGCAGATTGCTGTGGTAGAACAAGATCTGAGCTCTACATCTGAAACTACAGTACTCAATGTTCACATTGGGTATGAATGACGATAACTACCGACAATCTTCTCATAAATAAGCAAAATAATTTATTTCTATAGAAAATCACTGAAGTATGTTCATATGCAAAACTGTCTATTTATTGAGGGGGATGGAATACCGCCAAGAATTTATTACGTATAACAGCATCTAATCCAGGGGTTCGGATGACAAATAGGGCAGTTCAGCCTTTGATCTTCTGCATTATGACATCTAAATCCCTTGACTGGATTGTTATCTTGTAATTCACCAAGAAGCATCCATTTCCCTCCATGTAATTTGGGCTATGAACACAATAACGTGTTTAATTTGGGCAAAGAAAGATACATGTATCATGAATTTAGCTTTCAGTCAGAATACATTGTGTTGGTGCTGGAAAGATGCAATACCAAGGAGCATCAAGATAGGGGTATCCACTGGAAATGTTTCCACACTGTAAGTTATAACTCCCAGAGATGCTGTCAGAGGTAGGTGATGGATAGAGGCTATCAGGCACCCTTGCCACAGGGAGATCAGAAAGAACTAAGGTGAGCAAATGCAATATCTACTGCTGCAACTTCAAAAGATAATGATTCAAACAGACCA